TAGTGTGTATTTGTTAATCCCAAACTCCTAATTTATCCCTCCCTCAGTATCACCAAACAATTTACATCAGATCCACAGGGAGATCCATGTGCAGTCTACTCCATGATTTTAATAAGAGGAAGAAAAAAACCATTTTAACCCAAACACTGCCTGAGTCCACAGGACATCTTTTCAAAGTGCTTTGTGACATTTCTCTTCAACAAGCTGCAGGCTGGGTCTCTCAACCTGGTATCTTGCTGCCTTCGTTTGAATTCTCTCAGAAGCTGATCCTGAGACAAGGATTCAAGTCCAAGGAGTGTATTTGAGAGCTGATCCCAGAGAAGAGAAAGAAGCTAATAAGAGAGACACTTTCCAACAAGTGTTTTGCCACTTCAGGAAACCAAAGCTAAATCGATTAGGGGTGTTCTGGGAAAACATGCAGAGCAAGAGCTTCAGAATAATGCGGCCTGAGGGACCTCAAGGGAGAGAAAGCTGGGGTGCTCATCCATCAGCTCGCTTTAGCCAGTGGATGGGGATGCACCCGGGGAGCCCTGACGCCCCAGCACGGACGCCTGCCCTAGCCAGTCCAGGCAGAACTGTCTCTAAGGACCAGAGAAAGAGGTCAAGCAGAGAGTCAAGTGTGTAACACTGGGAGCCAAGTGCCATGGGAGGATGCCATTGGGTTCTGACAGCACCTGCCATGCTTGTACAAGAAGCCAGTGGAGTACTGATTATCTTACCAAGATAAATTTAAGAAAGACCTAAGATACTTGGTAATAGTCACCCATCCTTACCAGGCTTTGATTTCACAAGTGGAGATACATGACTAATCTTATTCCAGCCTTAAAACCTTTTTCAAAGTTTGCATCCATGACATTCATGTTAGAATCAGGGTAGAAATGTTTTTAATGCCAATCATGTTTTTAAAGAATTTTATTATGGAAAATCTCAAACACACATAAAATCAGAGAGAAGAGGATAATAAAGAGGATAATAAATGAATGACCCATGGTCAATCTTTTTTTTTTTAAATTGAAGTATAGTCAGTTACAATGTGTCAATTTCTGGTGTACAGCATAATGTCCAAGACATACATATACATACATATATTTGTTTTCATAGTCTTTTTCATTAAAGGTTATTACAAGATATTGAACAGTTCCCTATGCTATACAGAAGAAATTTGTTTTTTATCTGCATTTATATATAGTAGTTAATAATGCAAATTATCCAACTCCTAAATTTACCCCTTCCACCCTCTTTCCCCCACTAGTAATCATTAAATTATTTACTATGTCTGGGAATCTGTTTCTGTTTTGTACGTGAGTTCATTAGTGTCTTCTTTTTTCTTTTTTTACATTCCACATATGAGTGATATCATATGGTATTTTTCTTTCTCTTTCTGACCTACTTCACTTAGAATGACGATCTCCAGGTCCATCCATGTTGCTGCAAATGGCATTATTTTATTCATTTTCATGACTGAGTAGCATTCCATTGTATAAATATACCACAGCTTCTTTATCCAGTCATCTGTTGATGGACATCAACAGGTTGTTTCTATGTCTAAGCTATTGTATACAGTGCTGCTATGAACACTGGGGTGCACGTATCTTTTTGAATTAGAGTTCCCTCCAGATATATGCCCAGGAGTGGGATTGCTGGATCATATGGTAAATCTATTTTTAGTTTTTTGAGGAATCTCCACACTGTTTTCCATAACGGTTGCACCAAACTACCTTCCCACCAACAGTGTAGGAGGGTTCCCTCTTCTCCACACCCTCTCCAGCTTTTATCATTTGTGGATTCTTTAATGAAAGCCATTTTGACTGGTGTGAGGTGA